ACAACATAAAGTACCTATATTGAGTCTCATTTGAAGCGTGATCACCAAGAACGCAACTCTCCATAACTCTTTCCTGTCCCCATTGTTGGCAATGTGACTGGTTTATATACCTCATGCCACTAACTGTTCATAGGATTGTAGGAAAGTATGGCTGGAGAGGACCTCAAAAGGGTTGGAAGGGACCTCATGTTGCTGTCCTCTCTCTTCTGTTTTTGAAAGCTTCAGAGAGGCTTTGTTAATTAATGCCCCATGGATTGCACAGATGTAAATGAAAGCAGAAGTTGGCCCAATTAAATCAATACTTTAAGGATCTGGGTCTGAATGCTTAAAAGGAACATGCTGAAGCCCAATATCCTCTAACAAACCTTGATTTATTATTTTTCAGACTGACACATTGGAATTAACATATAGGAATTCAGACATGTACAAATTCATTTTAAAACATCAATTATTTTAATTCTATTAATACCAGTTCACATGTAGAGTTTATAGCTGCACCTTTTGAAAGAGTTAAGTCTTTAATTAATGTAATTTATAATAAATTAGTAAGGGTTTTTTAAGCTAAACTTATTTTAATTCTATATTAAAATTCTATCTCTGGAGCCTTAATATAACCAATTTTAAGACTTGTGTACACAGGGAAGAATGTCGTGTATCAAGACAGGGTGCAAATCCACAGGGCCTTGTGCCTTTCTGCAAGGCTGGTGAAGCTTCCAACTTTTGGGGATGGTGCAGTTCATTGTAAGAATCAGGCAAGTGCTGGTGCAGGATAGTGCATCATGATTAAAGCAGTCTGTTTTCTAACTACTAAAGCATAAAGCTAATTACTGAAGGACTGGTTAGGATAACTGCTGTTCTCTCTAATGAGGGGAAAATTGTTACTTTGAATGCAACGGAAGAACTACCAACTTGTCACACTCTATATCTCTAAATTATAGACAGCACCAGTAGTGATGCATGTAGTTAGAGTGAATTGGTGCTTTCAGTTATAAGGTCCAGATTTTGGTTGCTGATAACTGCTAGATTGTAACTACGTGGACTGAAATTTTGAATGTAGGTATGTGCATCATACCATTTTTTTAAATTAATGCTGTCAGCCCTACTCCACTGCCAAATTACCAGATCAATTCCAGGCCACACCCCCTACCCATACAACAAGATTGGGGACAGGCCACAACCCCTCTCCTCCCTGCCCCCTGACCCTGGTGGGTAGATTGGGGCTGAGCCATGCCCCCTTCCCAATATGCAGCTGGATTGGGGCCAGATTCAGGGCCAGATTAACCCTTTAGTGGGCCCTAGGGAAACAATCTTGTGGGCCCCAGACCACTTGAGACCCCCCCCTCCCCACCTCAGTGCTGCCACCTATGGGGAGCAGGGCTTGGAGCCACCGCTAGAAAGCAGCTGCCATGGCGGTGAGGCCAATGAAGGGAAGGGAAGGGCAGGGCAGGGCACGGGGCCATTCGTACTGCCACCGCAGAGGGAAGGAGTGGGGTCCCCCTCCACAGCTCAGGGCCCTAGGCATGAGCTTAGTTTGCCTGTGCATTAATTCGGCCCTGGCCAGATTGCCCTCCAGCCTCCCTCCACATGGCCAGATTGAAGCCGAGCTGCTCCCCAGCCCACCTCCTCACATTTGGATCAGGCTCCACTGCATCCACCCCACACACTGGATTGGGCCCATGGGCTGGATCCAGCCCATGGAGGGACCAGGCACTGCCCTTGTGGCCCACAGAGCAGAAAGATTGAGTACCACTGGTTTAATCTGATTAGTTTACTGATATAAAGCTAGTACATACACCATTCAACTCATTTCAAAAGTAGCTGAGCAAGTTTTACCTAGGCTTTCATGTCATATTGTCTCCCCCTTGGGCAGAAACTAGGCCTGCAAAATGTCAGCCTCATAAGTGAAAACTCCAGACAGTTGCAAATACCTGAAAACATAGGGTTAAAATGGAAGCGACATAGGCTGTTGCCACTACTCCAGCTCATATTATGCAATATATTTTATTTTCAACACCCCATAATTCAGTTTTCATTGAATAAACTTCCTGGCACTCATGACAAAGAGAAGTAGACAGGGTGCTTAATAGTTGCAGCCAGGGGCTAGACACAGATACATATGGTACTGGTTCTAGCCCCTGCTAAGCCAAACATTGCATACTTCCTTCTCTAAGGCACTGAGGCATCTATCTGGCTGTTTAAATGGCAGTTGGGTGGCTAAATACGTTTGAGTCTGTGGCTTAAGACAAACCATATGCTTTGCATCATTCTAAACTGCTCTCATGAGTAAATAAATTTAAAAATATATAAAGGTACACAGAAGGTGCACAAAATTGTTTCTAAAATCATTTGGTGTGGACACTTTCTGCCACTAGAATGCATCTCTTTTATCCCATATTTCACTGTGTTTAGAGCCAGAAGGAGTTATTATATCATCTAATGTGACCTCCTGCATATCACAGAGCCTTTCATTTCCCCTGTGTACCCACATTTTAAGCCCAAGACTTGTGTTCGTCTAAAGCACAATTTAATTTATAATTCAGCTAGTGTTTCCACTGAAGAAGACTTTTATTTCTTTCAGTGGCGATGTCACTTATTTGAAGCTCCCAGTGGGGTTGTAGGTTGATATTTTACCTTTTAAAATAATTTAAAACAATTCTGCAAATGGTTGAAAAAGACTCTGGGGTACCCAGTTTAGTTGTCGATTTTCTAAATGGTTTAAATGCTAAAGTCTGTAAAATAAATTGTATGTAGCTGGAATTAAAATGAACAAAGCTTGTATTTTTCCTTTGGGAAATGGCTTTAATTAAAAAAGAAAATGATGTTGCTTTTCTATATAAAGTTCTAGACTGGGAATATGTGTATGTTTTAGCAAAACAATTATTTATTCAGTGTTTTAAAGTCTTGGTTCTGCATAAGGTACAGTTTCAAGAAAAAAAGTCTGTACAAAGGAAGCCATATAAGGGCTGAGATCAGTTTATCCAGCCTGATTGAGCTAGCACAGGTGAGAATATGCATAGGTACTTTTTGCAGAATGTGGAGTTGCCTCAATGAATACAAAGAACTAATGAAATGTGCAAGAGTGGGTTTTTTTTTTCTTTTACAGAAAAAAACTGCTTAGTATAGGTCCCATTAATGGATCATTAAACCAGCTAGGGAGATAGCTCTCGGTTCCATGTATTGTTCACTTTTTCAAAACCTGCTTTTTCATTTCTGGTTTTATATCTGGAGGAGAGGCTCTGTTCTGCTTTTCCGTTATTGTAGACTCATTTTCTCATGACTCTGGGCCATGCTGTGAAAAGACAGGGAAGGTAGTTGGCTTTGTTCAATAGAGCATTTGGTTTGTCTTTCAATTTTCCTTTCTGCTGGTTATAGACCAGGCCTCCTGGATGCTGTGTTGCAGCCAGTAGTTATAGTTACTGCATACTTTTTTTGGGTCTTCTTGTGATTCATACCTTGTGCTCATTTGTCCTGAAGGGTGCCTCTCTCTCCTTCCTATCTTTCCTCAGGATAAAAGTATACCGCATGACAGCTCCCTCTGGGAACTCAGGGGCCACCTTTGTGTATTTTGCTCAAGAGTTTTTCCTTAGGGTTGTTTAGGCTCTGCTGCAACTTCTGTCGTATGTCACAGAATGTTCCTTTTCTAAATTCAAATTGCTTGCTTTAAGTTTCACATGCCTGATACAGCGTGGATAAGTGCTGTGGTTACTACTTCTCTGTTTTGAGGTTGATGTATTTGGGGTTTCAATGCAATGCACATGGCTTTTTTTTCCAGCTTGCCATCCATTTTAAATATCCATTTAGCTTTTCTGTGAGTATCTGTAAAATTAAACCTCCTTTTTATTGCACAGCCTTAGAGCAAAGTCCTCTGTCCTTCTGCAGAACAGTCCTCTGTCCTTCTGGAGACACTGTCACCAAAGCTGTTTGTAAGCCATTAGTTCTGATTATTGTTTTTCTTACTGTGGACAAATGCCTACTCAGAACTGACTGAGATCACCAAGTCATTTGGCATGGGCCATGGAAAAGCTATCACGTAAAAATGATTTTAGGGCTACTGAACATATCTACATGTGCAGTGGACTGCACAGTTGTTACTGTGCAGTCATTTAGTACATGCTTAAGCAAATACTAAATGACTGCTCAGTAACCAGCATTACTGTACAGGTGCAATGCTGCACAGCCAGTTTTAGCAGCTACTGTGCAGTAGCAACAAGCATGCCTGGTGACACTATGGTGCCATAGCAATGGGGTATGGTGATGTAGCTATTCACTATGGCGATGTAGCATCTCATGTAGAAGCATCCACTGAGTACCAGAGAACCAAATGAGAAAATCTCTACATACCTTTGCCATTTACAGTCAGCCCATACATGCTATATCTACAACCCACCCTTAGGGCTTGCTGCAGATGTCTTTGTGTTCTCAGCTAGCAGCCACCCACCCAAAAAAGGGATGGGGAAGTGGAAAAGAGGCAGGTCAATGGCTTTTATTCCTTTCTGGAAAGCGCATACAACCTTATATATATTGGTCCCAAGTCACCAATCTGACTCTGATGGTACGACTTTCCCAGAAAGGTTTTCTGTACCTCTTGTACTTTGTTCGTTTTAACTTGGGGCCAGATTCTCTCTAGCATTTTACCGAGGTTACTT